AGCCACCAGAACAACCAATAGTTGCATGCACCAAGTTTCTTATGTGGGATAACTTATGTTTAACGGAGTTGGGATGGGGTCCACCTGCAATACAGAGGCACTTGAGGATGGCGTATCAATCCAGATAAATTCCTTGTTTATCTCAGCTTATTTGTTTGAGTTGGTTTAGTACTTGCCGAGATGTAAAAGGCATGTGCTATTATAAATCAGTAGGCGGTCAAGATTGTGTAGAGATAGATGTGTTCGGTTTGCCAATTAAACTAGATGGGTCAATTCCTATATAAGGTCATGTACGTGTGCCATGTAAAAGGAGGTTATTTTTTAACGAAATAGACACGATGTGTTTTTCAGGGTAGACACCCGTATCAAGTTTTGGAGGGATCTTTAAAAAACCTCTGTGTTGCGATTTCTCTTTGTGGAAATTGTTTTGTGCGTGAGTACCTTCGTCGAGATTGGTTTTCTCGTGATGGGCCACACGGTTCAAACCCTCTACTTCGTGTGCATCGTGTGCACGGGTGAGAGGTTGCCGCTACTGAAGGTGGAGTGTCGTGAAAGATCGGGGTGCAACAACAGATCGGATCTCGCCACGAGGTTCGGTCTATATCAGGTGGTATCAAAGCAAGGTTGTTCATGATACTGTGCGGGAGATGACTAGATTATCATGAAAGCTAAGCTATGAATTTCAACTGGAGGAGGAAGATCGATGGGATGGCCTTTTCCATACCCATGTTGTGGTAAAAGAGAGATCGTGTGCCATGACAATTGATCACATGAGTTTGATCAATGCTGCAAGCATCGAGATGGTGGAGAAGCTAAATCTGCCAATGACACCATGCCCACAGCCATACTTGTTTCGTTTGGGTCATGAAGAGCACACTGTCACACAACAAACCAAGGTACCGTTTTTATTGGAGAATTATTTTTGCGAGGTTTTGTGTGACGTGATTCCGACACCGATGATTTCATGTCACTTGTTATTGGGCGAGCCATGGTACAAAGAGCATGATGTTGCATATGACTGTAAAAGACATAGATATACCATCAAGAAGGGTCAGAAATACAGCCTTGTGCCAATGGGTGAGGAGCGTTTTATTTCTTGAAGGCAAGAACACCTTAAGAAGATAAAAAAGCAGGAAGAAACAAAGAAAAGAGAGGTCAAAGTTGCTGAAATTTTTACGGTCGTCGTTCAATCTGCAAATAAAAATATTGTTGAAGAGACCGACTCGAAACCGACGACGGTTTCGTTTCAAGGAGGAGAGGATGATACGACCGCGTGTAATTTAACAATGATGATAGCTAATAATACAAGAACGTCTGCACCTAATACTGACTCTGCTACAGACGTTTCCCAAGATGAATATGGATTAGCTGGCACGACATCTATGCATGACATAGTTGTACAAATGATGAGCAAGTACGAAGAAATGTTTCTATATTTCCCTGAATCAGGACATGAAGGAGCATGCATGCATGAGAGTGGGTCTAGCCAAAACTCAATTAGAAACCATCAGGCTGTGTGCTACGTGGATGTGCAAGAGTTTGATTCCTTCTCAAAGGAAATAAATCACGCCAGTTATTTCTTTGGGCAGCCACGGCCACCAGAACAACCAATAGTTGCATGCACCAAGTTTCTTATGTAGGATAACTTATGTTTAAAGGAGTCGGGATGGGGTCCACCTGCACTACAGAGGCACTTGAGGATGGCGCATCAATCAAGATAGATTTCTTATTTATCTCGGCTTATTTGTTTGAGTTGGTTTAGTACTTGCCGAGATGTAAAAGGCATGTGCTATTTAAATCAGTAGACGGTCAATATTGCGTAGAGATAGATGTGTTCGGTTTGCCAATTAAACTAGATGGGTCAATTCCTATATAAGGTCATGTACGTGCGCCATGTAAAAGGAGGTTATTTTTTAATGAAATAGACACGATGTGTTTTTTAGGGTAGACACCCGTATCAAGTTTTAGAGGGATCTTTAGAAAACCTCTGTGTTGTGATTTCTCTTCGTGGAAATTGTTCTGCGCGTGAGTACCTTCGTCGAGATTGGTTTTCTCGTGCTGGGCCGCAAGGTTCAAACCCTCTACTTCGTGTGCATCATGTGCGCGGACGAGAGGTTGCCGCTACTGAAGGTGGAGTGTCGTGAAAGATCGGGGCGCAACAACAGATCGGATCTCGCCACGAGGTTCGGTCTATATCAAGGATCCAACTCGTTTTGGTTTCCCCGAAGCGGTCGTGCACTTCTAGAGACCAGAGAACCTGATTCGACCAATAGCATCCCTTTTTCAGGTTGAAGTAATCATCATAGGCCCGACACCCTTGCATGATGCACATAAACAATGGTCGTTGCATCAAAAATCAATGTTGGAAATAGCGTTCTTATAGCTCATCGGGGGCAAAGTAGCCCTCATATAGATCAACATGCCCCCATGCTTGACGAAGATTCAACACTCGATGTCCTTGCGTTGAACCCTTGAGTTGAGAATATGCTCCTTCGCCCGCTCCGTTTCTTCAAAAATCACCATCATCAACGCCATTTCATCCCCATCTTCCTCATTCGTCGAAGACGTATCCATGAACTCGGCGTAGAAGTACTCTTTGTCTGAATCCATCGTGTTTACCTCAAAGAAAACAACGAGACGTCAAGAAATGCACTGCCATTTGTCCAAAAACTTGCCGGGCAAGGTGTCTCTCATGGACGGTGTCAGCGGGGCGGAGGGTACCTGGGTAACATCCAGAACCGACTGAGGGAGTACGACGCCGGCGCGCACAAAGGGGAGGGGGGATGTCTCCGGTGGCAGAGGAAGAAAGGATTGTGAATATGTACAGGCTTCGGGTGGGGTTTTGGGGTGGGTCGTCCATGGTGCCGGAGTCCAACGTGGTGGACACCCAGAGCTCCCCCGAGTTAGGGCTGGGTGGAATTTCGGACATCCGAACCAGTCTGGCTCGATTTGATGATCTGTGTTTGGATGATTAACGGCCAAGTCTGAACATTTAGAAACATTTTGGCCCTCATGCCGAACTGTCGAGATCACACGACATATGGCTCCCTACACACAAGACAGGTGCCGACAACAGCGAAACTGGATGGAGTACTTACCACGTTACCCATGGAGACAGAAAACAGCCAAGTACATGCCTAGGTACAGGATAGAACAACAACCTGCCGTGGTTTATCCGGGCCCCGGTAGTTCGATATCATATAAGATAATAACCTCAGAAGAGGAGATAAACAAAGGAAAGTGAGATCGGACCTACTGCAAAATTCCCACTCGGATAGGAAGTTGCCTGGAACGATCATCGAACTAACTTTGATATGCTTGGACGCAGATGATTTGTACTGGACGAATTTTTATATTTATAGTATCACTTATGATGATTGAACCGTACTGTGAGCCAATTTTACAAGTGATTCTGTGATTGACCCATGAGCTCTGGAAGGCCAGCTCTCCAATATCCGGATGGCTGTATATGCACTTCCACCCAACTAGTGCAACTGTGCAGATAGCCAGTTAGAGCATCTCCATCCATCCCAAAAGACGTGCGCGCGGGGTAAACCGAGTTTTTTGCGCGCGTGGGGCGTTTCGGCGCGCTCCAGCGGTGGCGGGAAACTCGCGCGCACGGGAACCGTTTGCGCGCGGGGGGAAAAGGCGGCAGCTCGCGCGTTATTTCTGGCGCACCGCTTCGGGCGCGCCTTTAAATTGCGGCGCTCGCCACGCGTCTATTCCACGCACTTCTCTTCCTCTTCCGCTGCCACGCGCGCCTTCACCGCTTCCTCGTTGCTTCCGCTCTCACGCGCGCCCCCACCGCTCCAGCACCCCGCCACCGACGCGCCACCATGCCGCCGCGCCGCCGAGGAGCATCAGGCTACCGCGGCGTCCGCCAGGGCTTAGCGGCGGTTTCTACTCCGAGATACGGTCCGGCGAATTTCGGCTCAGCCTCGGCACCTTTGGGACGGCGCGCGAGGCCGCCCGCGCGTACGACACGGCGGCGCGGCGCCTAGGCAGGCCGCGCGCGCAGATGAACTTCCAGGACATCTACACGCTCCAACAGGCGCTGGACCGTGCCCCGCCGCCTCGTCTTAACACGGCAGAAGACCGTGCGGAGCACGCCGAGCGGCAGCGCCGCCTCCTCGTCGCCCAGGAAGACAAGCGGGTCGCAGGTCAGGGCGGAGTGGCGCCGGTGCCACCCGGAGGACGTCACCTACGAGCAAACCTACTGCGCAAGGCGTCGCGAGGAGGAGACGCAAAGGCGCCGCAACCAGCAGTTGGACAGGCGTCGGCGGAAGGCCCTGGCGATATCGCAATGCGAAATCATTGAGAATGGTGGGCAAACGATCTTTACGTCTGACGATGATCATTGGATAGACATATGGCTCGATACCTCGAACGAGACCAGCGAGGATGGCGATGATGATGATGGTGACGACAACTGGGAGTAGGTTGTAGTTACACTATCTAGTAGTTTTATCTATCTATGCTATGGAACTATGTAAAATATCTATGTATGGTTTTTTTATCTATGAATCTTATTTTAGTTTTATTAAAAAATATATACGCAACGTATAGCTCGCGCTGCCTTTTTGCGCCGCCGCTGGAGCTACGCGCGCGCTCAATTTTCACGCCGCTGCTGGAGCCAGCGCTGCCGGCCGCGCCAATCTAGGCGAACGGCGCGCGATAAATGAGTTTTTAGGGCGCGGCGCGTTGCGCGGCTGTTGGAGATGACAGATGAAAACGCATTGTGTTCTCTTCAATGCTCTTCCAAATTTAGTGACCACACTGCATTCACCACTGGTATTCTAACTAAACCAAAGAAATGGGCAAGTATCTCATTAACAATTACAATCACATCATGGCAAAGAGAAAGCAGCTAATTTAACATGCAAACTAGGGGTCTAAACTTGCATGGCTATAGTACAGTCAAAATGGGAAATTCTATATATTGAACTGAACAACATTTACATACTTATCTCTATATACTATTGCAGGGTAGAGCAGCCGTTTTATCTTGATGTCCTCTGCTTCTGGACCTTGACATCTTTCAACTTTAGCTTGAGCTTCATCATGCCAGCTTGGACTTGCACTTCATTTTTGGACGAATCTATTTTGACTACAGTAGCTTGGTTCTTGAGTTTAGGAACGTAAACTAAATCCCCAACTTCTGGAATCCCACCATCTTCATCTAATTCAAAAGGAAAGCTTAGTTTAACTTGTCTTCGAACTATGTGGGACTGGGAGAGAGATAATAATATGAAAATGGTGAGTTTCAAACCTATTATCTTGCCATTAGCTTCTGTGACCATGCTGATATTTGTATTCTGCGTCTTTTTAGGGGCAGAAGTACTAGATAGCTCGGGGCCTTTCGCCCCCTCAGATTTGGCTTTCTCCGCAGCCTTCTCTTCTTCTAGCACTCTTTGAGCCACTGCGGATTCTCTGTACTGCTGGAACTTCTTATGAATGATCGAACGAGCCATAACAGCATACTCCGAAACTACTCTTGACTTTCTTTTTCTCTGAGCGGTACTGTGATCTACAATGCTCTTCTGTGCCACTTCCAAGTCATTATGAAGCTCCTTGGACTGCCTGATACGCAATCAGTGGACATATAAGATAAGCAGTTCTGCTGTGACTGAGTTTGCGTACTATAATAGTCTAATAAGCAAACTAATGCATGAGAAAATACCTAAACTTCTGTGTAATGGAACAAAAAATGCACTTAGAAAGGCAGATTAACATATAGAGCCGGAGCATTCATTGCACCAAACATCAAAATCAGTTAAACTTATCCTTACTAAAAGATGGTACAAGCTTTGAATGCATATATGACATGCAAACAGGGATCTATTCCAGGGAAAGATTGCAGCATATACTCAAATGTACATAAAACCAGCAGGAAGTTCTCACATAAGATAATGTTGTGCCTGCTGGAGTTGTTCGTGGTATTCTTGCTTGAATTTTTCCATGTCCATAATCAACTGCAAAACAAACACTTGAGATGGACTTGTTCTAGAGATCGTATTAATCCAGACCGAAGAAGAATTCGACCTCGCAGATTCTAACTGAAGCAATATACGGATGAGTCTCTAACATGAGAGCACATATTCCTCAAGCAAATAACAAAATTTCCAGTGCCAAGGAAGACCCCATTTCTATCAGTAACACACGAAATATTATAGTATCTGAGCAACTCGATATTATAAAACCAAATTGCCACTTCACAATACAAAAAGGCCAATATTAATCTCAGAAATAAAGGATTGTCATGATCCTGTCAAACTTACTGCATTTATCTCTGCACCAGCTGTTCCAAGTAACTGCCGAGCGCTTTCTATAATATCCAAGGGCAAACCTAGCCTTTCAGCAATATTGACTGCATTTGAACGCCCTATATGCGTAACGAAACATGAGTACAAAAGAATTCCAAAAATAAAATGAGAGCTGGTTTTAGCAGACATCAGTTCCAATACCTATATAACACCTTAAAAAACAAAAATGAAATAAGAGCAAGTTTTATCCTTAATATGGAGTTAGTCAGCTAGGTTGACATTCTCAGGATAGAACAGCATGCCACATATTTACAAGATAAAGGCCTCACTATTTGGTCCACTAGAAATTGAAGAATGAATGAATATGACCTTCTTTTTGCCATAGCATATTTGATTCAACAAGCCAACAATCAACTGGCTGGTGGGGTTGGTTAATGGTCACCTTGTGTGATTTTTGACATAGAAAGCATGAGATGTGGGCTTTCTAGCATCTTCTAAGGGCAGTGACTTCTGAGCACCCAAACAAGCACCGCCATATTATGATCGAAAAAGAAACATGTAATATAAAGCAATTAACCTGGTATTCCCCAAAGTATCCTGAACGTAGGCTTTAGATTCTCTTCATCAAATTCCACGCAAGCGTTCTCAAATGAATCATTGCTGAAAGCATTAAAATAACGAATAATGATGCAGTGTTCATTGGATAAGAGTTACTCGTAATTTAGGGCACACAATAAGCCACATTGATGCGTTCCTAAAATTATCCTTTTGGACATAGATTCCTTGAAATCACGCAAGTAAATTTGCTTCCTGGTGTAAACTGGGGGAAATAGTGATTGTGTCAGAGTACGTAATGGTCCTAATGGGCCCATTAGTCTTAGGGTTAATTAGAAATAAGGGTCGCTTGCTTAGAGGTCAAATAAGCCTTGCTTGGGAGTCAAGTAAACCTCTCTATATAAAGAGAGGAGATCTCTATATAAAGAGAGGAGATGTAGCAATCTAATCAAGCAAGAATTAAGAAGGGAATTCCTTCCCTCTTGCCCGGCCGTGGGCAAAAAGGCCCCCGGCCGGCCCTCTCGCGCCCTCCTTCTAGCAGCGCCATAACAATTTGGTATCAGGTAGCTCAGTTCCAATCATGTCTTCGCCGCCGCCCACCCCATCGCTTCCGCTGCCAACCGTCACCACCGCGCCGCTGGCCATCTACACCGCGCCGCTGCCCTCCCCGTCCGCGCCGTTGGTCGCATCCTCCGGCACCGCCACCGCCCAAATGCCGGCGCCCTCCACCGCACCACCGGCCACCGCCTACACCCCGAGGAGATCACCGGGGTCCTCAACGACCTCGTCACAGCCGTCCAGGGGATCCAGCTGTACCTGGCCAGCCCCTACGGGCCGCCGCCGCCCCTGCCGCCACCGGGCCGCCGGCCCTGCCGTGGTACTCACCGCATCCAGGGGCCTCTGCGGCGTTCGCTGGGACGCTGCAGCTGCCGCCGCCGCCCACCGCCGCCCCACAGCGGCCGCAGTGGCCGGCGCCGGCTCCCGCCGCGCCTCCAGCGCCCATTGCCGCCCCCGCGCCGCTGTGGCTGCCATGGCAGCCGCCGCACCAGGCGGTCTTCGCCGCGCTCGCCGGACCACTGCAGCAGCCGCTGCAGCTGCCATCCATTGCCACCACCGCCCAACCCTGGCTGCAGTGGCAGCCGTCGCTCCTGGCGGCCTCCGCCGCGCCCGGCGCTCCGCCGCAGCAGCCGCTGTAGCTGCAGCAGCCACCGCTGGTCAGCTCCGGTCCCGCATCAACCGCACCGGCGGGAGTCCCGCTTCACCAAGTCCAGTCCCCGCCGTCGCCGTCACCGTTTCCGTCTTGGATCGCTACCCGCCACGTGTCGGCGGCGGTGAGGCTGCAGGCTGCTACGCGCGGCCTCCTAGCGCGTCGGCGTGTGCGGGAGATGCGTGGTCTGCAGCTGCCGCTCCTCCAAGTTGCCCTTCGCTCGCAAAGGACCTCGATCTCATCCGCTGAGTCGGGGATCTTGGGCATGCGGTTTCCCCCACGGGCGGCGGGCATGCTGTTTTCCCCGCGGGCAGCGACCTCAAAGTCTGCGATATCGGCGGTTGGGGGGGCGCACCCCTCCTCGTCATTCTCCATCGCAAGCCCTCCACTCTTCCCTGTGCGGTGCAAACCAACAGTCGTCCAGCAGGGAGAAGGCATGGTGTCACCGACAACAGCGCACCGCGTAGCACCACTGCATTCCGCCCCCGGCCGCCGCGAGGGCGCCTCTGCTGGTCACTCTTGCGACCACTTCCAGGTGGTCATACACATGCACTCCTTTTGTCCAGGTGGTGTCCATGGGATCCAGGTGGTTGTACACGTGCATGTCCGACGTGCGGATGGTGTCCACTTTTTGTTAAGGGGTCCAAAATAAAGCATCCCAGTCCATTTCAGGTTGAGAATAATAAAACAAGCCGAGATGTAAAAGGCTTGTTTTTAGGTGTTAAGTTTGTGTTGCGTCGAGTCATGGTTATAAGTTGGTTAGGCTGCAGCTCGAGGACAAGTTGCATGTCCAGGTGGGGTGTAGGTTAGAGTACGTGATGGGCCTAATGGGCCCATTAGTCTTAGGGTTAATTAGAGATAAGGGTCGCTTGCTTAGAGGTCAAATAAGCCTTGCTTGGGAGTCAAGTAAACCTCTCTATATAAAGAGAGGAGATGTATCAATCTAATCAAGAAAGAATTAAGAAGGAAATCCCTTCCCTCTTGCCCGGCCGTGGGCAAAAAGGCCCCCGGCCGGCCCTCTCGCGCCCTCCTTCTAGCAGCGCCATAACAGATTGCTTCAAGAACAACATTTTTAATAGTATTACTCAACAAAAGGAAACTTATTACGTGAATGTGAAAAGCCCAAGTAAAATCAGGAGTGCATTCTATGTAGATACAAGAAACTAAGTTGAAAATGACATCGTAACCATCAGCAATAACCTGTACTAGACCTTGTAGATTTATACAGTTATTGTCCTCACAGTTTTGCAATCATGTTGAGTGGGCTTGCTTTTGTTGAATATCAGTAAAATAACACTCATGGTTGATGACAAGGTATCCCAAACAGTATCATTTGAATAATAACAAAGGCGTAGCAATAACTAAACTAATGTAAGGACAAATGCTCTTTAGTTAAGAGTTAAGACCATAATGCCAGGAAAAAATCAACTTCAAATGTTTGGAACCTGTATTTCAGTGTTTTCAGTTCTCCATGATGAGTTGTAGCTAGAGTCAGAAAGGAACCAGCTTCAGCAAAAGACTCCAAGAGAGACATCCCCAAAGCAGCTCCTTCGAGTGGATTTGTCCCGGCACCAACCTAATATGAAAAATAAAGAATTGTCATCACATTCTAGTATTTTACAGAGAAAAGACTCAACTGTAGATAATGAGATAGTCCATGTCATCCATGATATTTCCATAATGAGTTGGGCTAATGGTGTAATGTGTACTGCGTCAAACTTCAAAAAAAAATGTGTACTGCGTCCTGAACTACTAACATGTACTGAATACTTTGACAAAAAAGATGTTACATGTGTTTGATAGTTTCCAGAACTGAGAAACAGACATTCATTTTTAAAACGGCTTGCCGAGTATATGACAGTTTGTCAGTTAGAAGAATAGACAAGAACCGGCATCGGCACCAAAAACAAATTAGAAACCACAATATCCATAGCCCAACTTTACGATCATACTGCCACTAAACTAATACTCCCTCCCTCTCAAAATAAGTGTCTCAGCCTTAGTACAACTTTGTACTAAAGTTAGTACAAAGTTGAGACGGTTATTTTGAGACGGAGGGAGTACATATTAACGAACCAAAATTAACATATAGTTATCAAGGCATATGATAAAGTACTCACCTCATCCAAAAGGACCAAGGATTGTGAAGTTGACTGAGCGCGAATGGCCTAATAAAACGAAGGTTCAGATGCTGTACGGATAGTTAAGGATTTACTGCAAGTACGGGACTAATAAGTTAGGATTCAGAACTAACAGAACATTGATTATGGTAAACTAAAATATACCCCAATCTGCTTCAGATGCCCAGAGAATGTTGAGAGTGATTGGGTCAAAGATTGCTCATCTCCAATGTCAGCATAAACAGCATCGAACCATGGAATTTTAACTGGTTCAGAAGCAAGAATGTATAGACCTACAGCAGAAGGGCAAACTTATGCAAGTTATGCTGGTTGCTTACTCATTAAGAGTGTGCAATAGTAAGTTGAAGCGAAAAAATACTCCATATCTTCGATTTTCTGCCAACAAGTCATGCCAGAAAGTGTGTAATTGATAATGCAATCAATACATATCAAATTTACAAGGATACAGAAAAATCAGTAATGGCATACTCTACGAAAGCTTGAGGGTGTAGCTTATGATCACTGTTAGGAATATGCAACTTGTATTCCCATGAGGCCATAGGCCGATATATATATACATGTACAGATGTGTAACATATGCAGGAAACCCTTTATACAACGGGATAAATACAAAGGGGTACATGACTTATATTATAACTCTAACACCCCCCCTCAAACTCATGGTGGATGAACAACACTGAGTTTGGAGAGATAAAAGCCATGTTGTGCTCTAGTCTGGGCCTTCGTCAGGAAATCCGCCAACTGTAACTCGGAAGGCACATACTAAAGAGCAATAACCTGATCCTGCCACCAGCGCGCACATAGAAAGCATCAACACCAATATGCTTGGTGAGCTCATGCTTCACAGGATCGCGCGCAATGCTAATAGCACCTGTACTGTCAGATAGGAGCAGAGTCGGTGTAGTGACAGAAACACCAAAATCCTGAAGTAACCACCGTAACCAAGTCACCTCTGCCGTCAAAAGAGCCATTGCTCGCAACTCAGCCTCGGCACTCGAACGGGAAACTGCAATCTGTTTCTTCGTCTTCCAGGCAATGAGAGAACCACCAAGAAAAACACAGTAAGCAGAAAGTGAACGGCGATCTAAAGGATCACTAGCCCACGTAGCATCCGAATAGGCCTGAAGCTGTAAAGAACTGGAGCGAGGAAAGAATAGATGATGAGAGATCGTGCCCCGAAGATATCGGAGAACACGAAGGAGATGACTATAGTGAACCGATGTGGGAGCAGAGATGAACTGACTCAGAATATGAACCGGATAAGAAATGTCCGGACGAGTGACAGCTAGATAGACAAGACAGCCAACAAGATGACGATAACGTGTCGGGTTAGGGAGAGGATCACCATCAGTAGCACGGATGTGAACATTGAGCTCCATAGGAGTCTCAACAATGCGCTCGTCAGTAAGAGCAGCACGAGCAAGAAGAACCTGGATATACTTTTCCTGGGATATAAAAAAAACCATCAGAGGTAGAAGAGACTTCAATCCCAAGAAAGTAGCGAAGAGGACCAAGATCAGACATAAGAAACTGCTCACTAAGACGGGCCTTTACAAAGGCAATATACTCGGGGTCATCCCCAGTGATGATCATGTCATCAACATAGAGAAGAAGAAGAGTCCGACAACGAGGAGCAAGGTGAATAAACAATGCTGGATCATGAGCACTTGCTGAAAAACCAGCGGTAGTGACCATAGAGGCAAAACGCTCAAACCAGGCGCGGGGGGCTTGCTTAAGGCCATAGAGAGAGCGACGAAGACGACATACCATGCCATGCCATCAAGAACAGAATACCCAGGTGGTGGCTGCATGTACACCTCCTCACGCAGCTCACCATTAAGAAAGGCATTCTTAACATCAAGCTGAGATATAGATCAGTGGCGTGCAGAGGCAACGGCAAGAAGTGTACGAACAGTGGTCATATGGGCCACAGGAGCAAAAGTCTCGTCATAATCACGACCATGCTCCTGCTGAAAACCACGAGGCACAAGACGAGCTTTGTGACGCTCAAGAGAACCATTGGAGCGAGTCTTAACCTTGTAGACCCACTTACAAGTGATGGGACGGACTCCGGGAGGAAGAGAAACAAGATCCCAGGTACCAGTGCGTTCAAGAGCAGCAATCTCCTCTGCCATCGCAAACTGCCATTCAGGATGAACAACAACCTGACGATAAGAAGTCGGCTCAAGAACAGCAGCACCAGCGCTGGGAAATCCAAAGCGATTAACAGGCGGACGAGGATGAGAACGCAAGCCATAAGTAGGCTGAGAGGAAGATGACGACTCATCCACAAAGGCATCCACAGGTCGTGAACGACGAGTGTAATGCTGAGGAAAAGATGGAACAATAGAAGGAGGAATCGCCAAGGTAGAATCGGGGGGTGGCGACGAAGAAGTCACCGGAGATGAAGGTGTAGAATCCAGTGACATGCTAGGCGAGGAGACCGAGGAAGATGGTGGCTGCAAATCGACTAGAGGTGGAGAAGCAGAGGGAGTGGAACGAAGAAGCACAGGCTCGACGGGGGTGATAGGTGAGTCGAGAAAAGTGAGGAAAGAGATCCTCCACTAAAAAAGTCGAGGAAGATGGACGTGGGTAGAAGGGACGAGACTCATCAAAAGTCACGTCTCGAGAGATACGCATTCGACGACCGATAGGATCCCAACAACGATAGCCCTTATGCTCATCACTGTAGCCTAAGAAGACACACTCAACAGACTGAGCGGTCAGTTTGGTGCGTTCGCGAGGGGCAAGAAGAACATAGCAAACACAACCAAACAAGCGAAGCATCGAATAATCGGGAGAACGATCAAAAAGACGCTCGAAAGGAACACCACCCTGTAGAGCAGCGGAAGGCTGTATATTGATAAGATAGGTGGAGGTGAAGACGGCCTCAGCCCAAAAATGAGGCGGGAGAGAGGCAGCAATCATCAATGCACGAGCCGTCTCAAGAAGATGTCGATGCTTTCGCTCAGCCACACCATTCTGAGCATGAGCACCAGGGCAAGAGAATTGAGAGAGAGTTCCTTGCTCAGCAAGAACACCATGCAACATCTTAGAGATATACTCGCCAGCGGAGTCAGCACGAAAAACACGAATGGGGGAAGAGAACTGAGTATGAACCATGGCAGCAAAACACTTATAAATAGACAACACCTCACTACGAGAAGTCGGGAAATAAAGCCATGTGTAACGAGAGAAATCATCTATGAAAATAATATAGTATTTATGACCACCTTTCGAAGCAAAAGGAGCCGGACCCCATACATTAGAATAGACTAAATCGAAAGGACGCTTAGACAGTGACTCACTATGTGAATATGGTAACTGAATCTGCTTGCCAAGACGACAACCCTGACACTCTAAAGAGACATCTCCTGAGACAGACCCCAGAAGACCTCGACGAACTAAAGATGATAACCGAGAACCACACAAATGACCAAGTCGATGATGCCACTGCTTGAAGGAACCAGTAACGGAGGCGACTGAAGCGGAGGAACTGGTGATGGTGGTGGCAGCGGAAGGAACATGAAGCCAGTCCAACTCCCAAAGACCCTGAGAATCACGGCGGCGAGGGCCAGCCCCAACCAGAGTGTGCTGGACAGAACAAGAGTCAACGTCAAGGATGACGCGACAACCAGAAACAGTAAGTTGACCAGCAGAAAACAGATTCATGGTAAGTCGAGGAACATGAGCAACATCAGGAACAGAATAAGGAGTGGTAAGATTGCCTCTACTAGCAACAGAAAGTGGAGTACCATCAGCAGTGAAGACATGAACAGGAGAATCCAGCGATCGAAGAGAGGACAAAGTGAAAGAATGAGAAGACATATGAAAAGAAGCTCCAGAATCTAGAACCCATGGGGATGTACTTGACTGTGTAGAGGGTGGTTGCTCAGTGCAGGAAGAATCAGTCACAGAACTAGCAGTACCCGTCGAGGAAGAACCTGAAGCCGCGAGCATACGCTTAAGTCTCAGAATATCCTGCTCAGTCAAAGCAATGGCTGAAGTTGTCGAGGTAGATGACGAAGTCCCTGAAGATGATGATCGCGCCTTGCGCAGGTGTTTCCTCTTCGTGTAGCACTGTGACTCAATATGACCATCATTGTTGCAGTAGTCGCAATGTGGACGATGGCGACCTGAGCCTCCAGAAGGAGTGGGCAAGAGCGGCGGAGCACTCGAGCGAGAAGGGGTCGGTGCAGCGGGTGGCGTGGAAGAAGCCCGAGTAGCGAGCATAGAGGGAACCTCCAGCAAACCAGCACCACGTAAGCGAGTCTCCTCGGCACGAATCTCAGAAAGCGCCTCCATGAGAGAAATACGGCCACGAGCAAACAACTGAGCACGCCGGGGCTCAAACTCCTTACGGAGCCGAGACAGGAACTCGTAGACGCGATGAAACTCCAAATTGGCCTGGACAGCCTGGCAACAGGGGCAAGTACGACAATCAGCACTGCGGAGAGAATCAACCTGGCGCCAGATAGCCGAACTCTGTGCATAGAAATCATCAACAGTCGAGTCACCCTACTGAAGAGCATGCTCCTGACGGACCACAGAAAGGTATAAGGCATCACCAGAGGGCTCACAGCGCTGACGAAGACGGGTCCACATCTCAAAGACAGTACGAAGACCCAGAAACTCAGAAGCAAACTGAGGCAGAACACTAGCAGTGAGAACAGCTGCAGCACGAGCATCATCATCAAGCCACTGGGTGTAAACAGACAGAGCGCCATGATATGTCTAAAGAGCCTCCTCATAAGCCAAAACCCTCTCATCATAAGCACGATCAGCAGTCTCATCAGCAAGCTTAGCCGCATCCTTGGCGGCCTGATTAGCATCCGTAGGAAGAACCAGTGGAGTCGGCGGAGTAGGGGCAACCGGAGGAACCGGACGTGGCGGACAGCAGACCTCGCCAGAAAGAACACCCCAGAGACGGATGCCACACATGTGAATGCGCATGAAGCCAGTAAACTCGGTGTAGTTAGTACCATCAAAGATCACCGGACAGCGAGGGACAGCAACATAGCCCGATGCAGCGGACATTTTTTTTTGCAGAGATCGATCAAGGGGCAGCTGGCAGTCGGCGGCTGAAGAACCACAGGGGCCAGGGCCGGCGGGAGCAGGAGATCAGGGCCCCTGCGTCGATTGGGGCCGGCTGGGATCGAGAATGCAGCGTCGAGCGAGGCCGGCTGGGGAGCGATCCGATCGACGGGGGCTTCGATCGGGAGACTCCAGGAGATCGAGGACGGGGGCTTCGATCGGGAGCGAGAGGAGCCGGACGAGCGAGAACAGGCAGTTGGGGATCGATCCGATCGGGAGACTCCAGGAGATCGAGGACAGGGGCTTCGGTCGGGAGCGAGACGAGCCGGCTTCGATTGGGGAGGAGAGACGGATCAATAGCACGAGTTGCAGCGTGCAAAAAATTGACCTAGCTCTAATACCATGTTAGGAATATGCAACTTGTATTCCCATGAGGCCATAGGCCGATATATGTATATACATGTACAGATGTGTAACATATGCAGGAAACCCCTTATACAACGGGATAAATACAAAGGGGTGCATGACTTATATTATAACTCTAACAATCACAATCATAACAGTGAAAGGATCTCAACTTCAATGTTCCAGTTACCTATCTTGGCCATTAATGATGCCAGCCCAACCGTCTTCAAGCTGATTGTTTTCCCCCCAGTATTTGGCCCAGTTATGACCAAAACAGTAGTCTCTTCAGCGATCATAAAATCCACTGGTATCGGATGGTTCCTCTCCAGCTCAGAAACCTACAAACTGAAACATAAATTATCCAATGAAAGTGCCAATACACATTGTTTATCCCCAAACGAGGACTAACCCTAATTTTCATGAAATCAACTTCTGAAGCCAGTTGATCTTCCTCTGCGATATCTTGTCCATATATCCTCCTCCTCCGAATCTCCTACAACAGGAAGCAAAATGAGAACTGGATAACTGCAGGTTGATAAAAAAAAACCATCAAGGCATATGAATAGATGATGTTTTAGTCTACAGTATATTAGATGTAAACAAAAAATGTACTCTCACTATCAATGAATACAATTTTTCTGCATAATGATAGTAGAATAAGGTGGGCCTGAAGAAACTAACCGCTGTGGCACTTGCAACATCCTTTTTTGTACGACGCAAATTTTCCTGGTGCTGCTGGAGCAATAGTGGATGGTATGCATTTGGAATGAACAGTTTCCATGGCCTCTTAGTAAGTTGGGCTGAGGAAGTTGTACTAGCAGGCTCATCTTTAGCCGCATTGGCAATTCCATGCTCAATGTTTGGCAAATACAGGTCAGGAAGTGTACCATCGTATGCTACACTGTATCTTGCACGAGCTGTGACCTGCAAAGCAAGTGTGCATACATATTAAGCAAAACAATCTGGGGTAAGCAAGCAACTAGGCATGCATAAAAAAATACTAAATGCTTATGAAACTGCTGCACTACGTGACTGCAAACACGATACACAATTTTGGAATAGGGATGATGGGAAATGGCCAGATATCTCATTGACGGAGGTCTTGTGTAAGTATCAGAACTGTTTAGATGTCTTCTGGCTTCCCTTAATGTTGAATGTTCAGTTGCTGCATAGGTTGTCAGAAGTTACTGCGGTGAAAGGTCACTGCAGTGCTGCAGGGAGGAAGGTGATGGCCAGACAAGGCTAGCAGGGGTACGATTAGAGTCAAGCGAATAGAGATACCAGTTGGAAAGTGGTTATTTTGCTTGCTCCCACTGTCCTGGCAGCGGGCGCACGCGTATTTCTCGATAGTGAACTGTCTGCAATGCAAAACGCTGGGTGTGTGATATTACTTGCATCTATTTCAAATCCTATCTGCTGTCGAGCTTCGCCAGATACGAGGACCAGCTGAAATGGCACTGGACAGCGGAAGGCAAGTATTCTGCAAAACCTACCTACCTTGCGGTTCTTTGAAGGAATGGTTGACCACCTGCTGTGGCAGTGCTGGGCACTGATGAAGATGAAATTCTTCTCCTGGATGGCGGTAGCGAACCAGTGGTGGACTGCTGATCATTTTGCTCGCCGAGGTTTGCCGCTGCGTGCCTTTTTTGTGATCAAGATGATGAATCCATCTACCATCTGCACACAGGTGTGCTGTCTCGTAAGATATGGTTCAAAGTGCTTAAGTAATATGGCACCGAGGCAATCTGCCCAGTGCCAAATGAGGACTTCTGTCATTGGTTCGCGGATGCGACTGCTGAAGTGTATATGTGGATTGCCGCCCTTTCCATCAGTTCGGACTTTTGGTTGCATTGGCTAGTGCATGAAGCTTAACATGGTATCAGAGCCAAGAGGTCTTGAGTTCAAGACCCGGCTGGCGCAATTGAATTGCAGCCCACTTTTGGTCCATGAATAGCCCAACTTTCCCCATCAGCTTGAGCTTTTGGTTGTGTTGGCTAGTGCATGAAGCTTAACAGCGACAAGCAGAACAAGGGAGAAGTTGGAAGGGGTGCGCTCCCTCGTAATGCTCATTCTTTGGTGGCTGTGCATATGAGAAACGCATGTGTGTTTGATAACATGAGAGCGGTCTCGAGCGACCTTGTGGATCTGATCCTCGACAAGGCTGAGCAGTGGAGAATTACCGCAGTGCACTCTAGACCCCCAGACCGTGTTGCACCAGTAATCCTGGCGATGCCGGCTGCTCAGGCATTGGCCTATCCGTTTTTGCCATTTTCACTTTTCCCTTTTCAGTTTAGTTTTCAATGTTTTTTTGTGTTTACCGAAAAAGGCTTTCGCCCCGCTTTATATATAAAGCAACGATCAACAACAACCCAGTACAAACACACGCCACCACAACGCACACACACACCCAAGGCGGGATACAAAGACGTTGAGCGCAGCAACACCATCCCTAGCACTACACAAGCACCCGGGGACTCCAACCGTGAACGCCACCGGGAAGAGATGAAGCCGCATATGACGAACCGAGGGCTCCAAGGCGGCGCCTTCAGGAAGGTTACGACACCGGAGCGCCGCCACCGCCCGATCCAAGGATCAGAGTTTCCCCTGGAGCACCACGACGGCGATGAGGGCGTCGTCAGTTTCCCCTGGAGCACCACGACGGCGATGAGGGCCGCGACGACGCCTTCAAGAAGGGAACGAGCTACGCCGCCGCCGGTCCGTGCGAAGACAGAGCAGGTTTTCACCCCGGCCAACACTCACCGCCACCGAACGCCACACCCCGGCTACCACGCCGCCCACATGGCCATGACCACTGGGCAGCACCGAGCCACGGGCTTTGCCCAGGAGCACCGCGCTACCACCACCAGGGCCGCCGCCCCGACATCCAAGACCTAAGACACCACCACACTCGAGACCCGCCGCTACCCCAACCAAAGAGATGGGTCGAAAGGCCCCGCGTTACGCACCCCTGGACAGCCCCCAGCACCGAGAACCAATAGGTTGGCCAAAACTGGCCCCCATCGACCCGTCCTGCCGCACCGGGCGCGAGACGAGCTCGGTCCTGCAGCCGGGCGCGAGACCAGCATGATCCTGCAGCCGGGCACGGGACGAGCTCGGTCCTGCAGCCCCGGGCGCGAGATGGACGATCGACCGCAGCTGGGAGAGGACCAGCCCTTCGAGGAAAGTAGCATCCGGACGCCGAGGAGAGGGATCGAAGGCCAAAACAGTCCACCTGCAAACAAGCTGACGCCGGCGGAGAAGCCAACCATCGCTACAGCCGGAAGTGCCGAGCTGCCGTGTAGATACCAATCAGCAGGGAGGCCACCATACCACCCCGCATCGCCGTAGCCCACGACCAGAGCAGCCACCACGCCGAGCCGCTGCCCAAACCCGTGCCGCTCGCCGGGACCAAGCCTAGGTCCGACAGAGCACGCAACCACCGGTCGCACCTCCTCCCGCCAGCCCCGCAGCCAAAGCACCAGCAGCCGCGCTGCCAGGATGCAGCCACCGCGGCACCGCCAGCCATCCCCGCCGCCGCATCCAGGAAAGGGCACGGCGCTCAGATCTGGCCGCTTGCCCCGGCCGACCGCGACCACCCCACCACGCGCCTGGGCCACCCCGACGACACCGGCCACAGCCAGCCACCCGCCGTGGACCGCTGCTGCACCCCGGCGCCGGACCTCGCAGATCGGCGCGCGCCACCGCGCAGCCGCCACACCCAGCGAGGAGGGAAGGAGAAGAAAGGAGGGCACCCATGAAGAGGCCCCGCCGCCGCCCTCACTGGAGCCCACCCGGGCTTCGCCGGCGGAGCGCCTCTGGCAGCGGCGAGACGAGAAGGGGAGAGGGGAAGGCCCGGCGGCGCGCGAGGGGAGTCGCCCCCCGAGTCGCCAGAGGAGGGCGATGCGGGGGTGGGAGTTTTTTTGTGCTTCACAACTTTGGCCGATGTATTGCAACTTCTTTGTGTTTCTTCTAATACAAAATGATGCACGTTTAAACGTGTGTTCGAGAAGAAGAAAATCTAGTCAGAGCTCTTGAGAGTAAGAACCCTACAGTACTAATAGATTATGTCAAAGAAAATATCAGTGACAACTACTTTTCATGGGAAATGGGTAATGGAAAACAACACCACCTTATCGAGTGTAACTGTTTCCTGCATCAAAATCTGAATATTATCAAGCTCAAGAAGAATCTGCAAATAAAAATTGAAAATTAAGTTTAAGGATAAGAACTCTAATAGCCAAATAGCAAAACCAAATCGATCAACCTTTCAAACCTTGTCAGTCAGTTTCGATAAAGCTTCAAGCTCGGCTCTAACCACTAGTGCTCTTGCGCCCTGTAGCTCATCATTTAGTGGAACAGCAACAATTGGTTCTATCATACTTCCAGCATCTGAACCACTACATATATATGAATCTTGATCAATACCAACTGTCAAACAGCCAAATCAAATTCAACACACACGCATATTACTATACACATTGGTCAAAACTGCGCTTAAAAAGACATTGGTCAAAACTCGAAGTTGGGTTAAAATTAAGGGAGAGCCAAGATTTTGGTTCTCCTAGCAGACTCCCTTTTACGGGATGTCGGTACAAACAAAAAAAATGAGTATGCACCAGATGATATAAAGGTAATCTCATATGTTCAGTGATCCAAATCCCAAGCATGTACTTTAGTGCTAATATACTACAAAGTTTTAAAACTCCCGGTCTTATGGAAATTTGTCAGCACAAAGCAGGCATATAAATAAGATTTTAAACAAAACTATCTCATATAAAGCGAAACCAAATGAAAAAACAAAAATCATCTTTAGCAAAGCACACCTGGAGAGTAGTAATCCATCAAAACTTGAGGACTTATCCCCAGTTATTTTAATGCAGCATCTTCCATTTACAATGCTTACTTCCTAAAGAAAATTAGCAGTTTTGTAATTCACTGCACATAAGTTTCCCTGGCAATGAGTGAGTTGAATGAAACAATACCGACAAGGAAGCTTCATTGTCCGCATTCCGTATCAATTTATCCATAAGCTGGCATAACTGAAAAGGTAACAGCATATAACAATTATCCATCAACAACATTACCATCAGACTGTTAGAGTACGTAATGGGCCTAATGGGCCCGTTAGTCTTAGGGTTAATTAGAGATAAGGGTCGCTTACTTCGGGGTCAAGTAAGGCTTGCTTGGGAGTCAAGTAATCCTCTCTATATAAAGAGAGGAGATGTATCAATCTAATCAAGCAAGAATTAAGAAGGAAATCCCTTCCCTCTTGCCCGGCCGTGGGCAAAAAGGCCCCCGGCCGGCCCTCTCGCGCCCTCCTTCTAGCAGCACCATAACAATTTGGTATCAGGTAGCTCAGTTCTGATCATGTCTTCGCTGCCGCCCACCCCGTCCGTCACCACCGCGCCGCTGGCCATCTACACCGCGCCGCTGCCCTCCCCGTCCGCGTTGCTGGTCGCATCCTCCGGCGCCGCCACCGCCCAGATGCCGGCGCCGTCCACCGCACCACCGGCCGCCGCCTACACCCCGGAGGAGATCACCGGGGTCCTCAACAACCTCGTCACAGCCGTCCAGGGGATCCGGCTGTACCTGGCCAGCCCCTACGGGCCGCCACCGGCCCTGCCATGGTACTCGCCGCATCCTCCGGCGCCGCCACCGCCCAGATGCCGGCGCCCTCCACCGCACCACCGGCCGCCGCCTACACCCCGGAGGAGATCACCGGGGTCCTCAACAACCTCGTCACAGCCGTCCAGGGGATCCGGCTGTACCTGGCCAGCCCCTACGGGCCGCCGCCGGCCCTGCCATGGTACTCGCCGCATCCAGGGGCCTCCGTGGCGTTCGCTGGGACGCTGCAGCCCCAACTGCCGCCACCGCCCGCCGCCGTCCCGCAGTGGCCGCAGTGGCCGGCGCCGGCTTCCGCCGCGCCTCCAGCGCCCATCGCCGCCCCCGTGCCGCCGTGGCTGCCATGGCAGCCACCGCACCAGGCGGCCTTCGCCGCGCTCGCCGGGCCACTGCAGCAGCCCCTGGAGCTGCCATCCATCGCCACCACCGCCCAGCCCTGGCTGCAGTGGAAGCCTCCGCTCCTGGCGGCCTCCGCCGCGCCCGGCGCTCCACCGCAGCAGCCGCTGCCGCTGCCCGATGCGCCACCGCAGCAGCTGCTGCAGCCGCAGCAGCCACCGCCGGTCAGCTCCGGCCCCGCATCAACCGCGCCGGCGGGAGTCCCGCTCCACCAAGTCCAGTCCCCGTCACCGCTTCCGTCTTGGATCGCTACCTGCCATGTGTCGGCGGCGGTGAGGCTGCAGGCTGCTGCGCGCGGCCTCCTAGCGCGTCGGCGTGTGCGGGAGATGCGCGGTCTGCAGCTGCCGCTCCTCCAAGTTGCCCTTCGCTGCGCAAAGGACCTTGATCTCATCTGTTGCGTCGGGGATCTTGGGCATGTGGTTTCCCCCACGGGCGACGGGCATGCTGTTTTCCCCGCGGGCAGCAACCTCAAAGTCTGCAACATCGGTGGTTGGGGGGGGGGGGGCACCCCTCCTCGTCATTCTTCATCGCAAGCCCTCCACTCTTCCCTGTGCGGTGCAAACCAACAGCCGTCCGACAGGGAGAAGGCATGGTGTCACCGACAGCAGCGCACCGCGTAGCACCACTGCCTTTCGCCACCGGCCGCCGCGAGGGCGCCTCTGCTGGTCACTCTTGCGACCACTTCCAGGTGGTCATACACATGCAGTCCTTTTGTCGAAGTGGTGTCCATGGGATCCAGGTGGCTGTACACGTGTCCACTTTTTGTTAAGGGGTCCAAAATAAAGCGTCCCAGTCCATTTCAGGTTCAGAATAATAAAACAAGCCGAGATGTAAAAGGCTTGTTTTTAGGTGTTAGGTTTGTGTTGCGTCGAGTCATGGTTATAAGTTAGTTAGGCTGCAGCTCGAGGACAGGCTGCATGTCCAGGTGGGGTGTAGTGTTAGAGTACGTAATGGGCCTAATGGGCCCGTTAGTCTTAGGGTTAATTAGAGATAAGGGTCACTTACTTAGGGGTCAAGTAAGGCTTGCTTGGGAGTCAAGTAATCCTCTCTATATAAAGAGAGGAGATGTATCAATCTAATCAAGCAAGAATTAAGAAGGAAATCCCTTCCCTCTTGCCCGGCCGTGGGCAAAAAGGCCCCCGGCCGGCCCTCTCGCGCCCTCCTTCTAGCAGCACCATAACACAGACAGATGCAGTTTGTAGGTTAAGACTTAAGAGGAACTGGGGAACTTAGCATTTGTTTCCTTTCCAGAGTTTAATCATTGAAAGAAAATCCACTAGATATATTTGGTATTTTATTTATACATCACATAACTTTCTTCTGCAGTTTATCCTCCAGGTCGAGAACTTAAAGCATGGTGTTTTCAGCAATGTGCAAATGCTTGCATGCTCTGCGTGCCATGGTTGCCGGCTTGCATGTGTGTCGTGCTTGTGTGACTATAAATTCAAGGCCAACTCCAACAGTACAGGAGGAGTGAAAATTCACAGCAACTTGTTTGCTGCACGCGCATGTAGCTGCCCTCGCTAAGCATAACAAATCTGCAAAGCCACCTACCCTGCTCTCTAGGGCCTGAACTTGATCTCGATATCGTCTTAGCTCAGGGCTCTGAAAAAAAATATTATTTTGAGTTAAAAGGAAATATTTCAAATGGAATATCTAAGTACGGTCAGGGATCATAACAGCCTTTCAAAGTGTTTTATTAGTGATGGTCAGTATAGATTGCATCAAACCAGTATGATATACACTTAACAGATGATGACTAAATGCTGCTATAAATGTACTTAGTAAAGGTAGTTCTGAAATTGACTTCTACAGTTATAGTCTATTTGATGCTACGAAGGAACGAGATAGCATGTTCAGATTTCCTTTGGGTTAATGCTGGAAAGTTAGGATGACAGATTGCTTGGGCACAGACCTTCAAATATGGATATTTGTTGTTTACATGTTCAATACTTCATAGTGGCTCAATCACTTAACCAAAGAAATTTGAGTTATGGTTCATAAGAAGTAAAGATTAATTTTCTACATGCTGAATAAAGAAATTCACTTCAAACTGATATGCTTGTAAAAAGTAGTATTCTTTTGCAAGGAAATAAAAACTAATAGAGTACTATTCTTTGAAAGCAAATAAAAACCAGTATCACATCGTCCCAAAGCAATACAAAAGTAGACTCGGGATGAAGGACCAAACTGCAGTGTCTTTCACGGAGCCATCATCATCTATGACATCCTGTATAGACTTCACTAGTGGCTTACTGACAACAGCATCTAGAATCTGCAGGTCAGTAGAAGAACATTCAGCGTACTAGACTGAGAGACATATATTTGTACTACAGATGACAAAAGATGCAAGAGAGCAAAAATGAGTAAAACTATACGAGCTTACTGTTTCTGTAAGGGGCAGTAACAGATTATGTGAGTCTTCATCTTGCTTCATAGCAGCTCTGATAGTTACTTGCAAGGATTCAACGAACAGCATCAGGCTAACCACTGCCATTGCTTCCTGGCCTTTAATCACGGAACCACCAGAGACACAATTTATTGCTGACTCTACCTTCAGTTAAACAGAGAATGCGATACTTAAAGAGTGTATTTGTGATACTGGCATAACCGGACAGTTGGCATCTAATAAGTATACAAAGCAAAATGAGACGCAAAGAACAATGCTATACAGATAAAGTGATAAAACATTAAGATCAACAAACAGATAATGGAACATGCGTGCTTTGGTCACTATTTTGCTCTTGATTTGGTAGTGTAATTTTACATTCGTATAGGCATAGTTCAATACAGATTACAAGTTGTTGAAGAGATAATTTAAGTCAGGTCAGATGAAACGGTAAAGCCCACTATAGAATAGAACTTGGTATGCCAAAATGCCGATCACACAGTAATGCTGTATAAATTCAATTTGATTGTAACTCTGTACTGAAGTCAGGCAGTACACGTGACTTCCTTAGCATATTAGTACACCAAACATGGGTCCTCACCGCGACGGTATCCAGCCCGGAGAAATCCAATGCCCCACCGGAGCTGCCAAGCAGCCGCACCGCCGCCTCAGTCTCCCGGAGCAGCTTCCGGCTCCGGTCATAGCTCACGTTCTCCACAGCCCACAACTGCTTCTGCACAACCACGTCGCGCGTCAGAGGCGAGGCCCATGCATCACGAGCGATCAGGCAACGGAAGGGTTCGGAGTTACAGGGGTCTGGAGTTGAATAATGAATACCTTGGTGGCTTCGCGGCCGTGCGCGGTGCCGGCGAAGGAAGCGACGGCGCGGCAAACCTTGCCCCACTCGAGGAGGCGGAGGCTGCGGGCGGAAGGCGAGGCGGAAGGCGAGGCGGAGGCGGCGAAGACGAGGGCGCGTAGGCGGCGCGGGCGGGGGTGGGAGACGGACGGGGGGAGAGAAGGAGGGTAGAGGAGGGAGAAAGAAGCGGAGAGGCGAAGCATGGAGGAGCCGTGGAGGGGAGCAGTGGCGGGGAGGAGCAAACGGCGCCGGTGTGTTTGGATAGAGCTGGGGTGCAGGGGCGTGGGCGAATGCACGGCCGAAGGTGTTTCCGCGGCTAGCTAGGAGACTTACACATCCTTGGGAGTTAGTTTTTTTTTAATAAAAAAAAATCTGATTTATTCATCTTCAATCAATCATGCTAGTACAATGAATACAAGAGATAAACCTTTAGAGTTCGGCTTGATGTACACGGATTTGTGCTTGTGCGTTATCAAGTCCAGTCTTATGTGAATATTCATTTCTAAACACGGACTCGCCTGCTCTCGGTGAATAATAAATTTAAGAAAACTAGAAAAAAAATAAAAATCTGAAATTTTTATCAACCAATACACTCAAATGCATAATGTTCGGGCAAAATTTCATCATGTTCGGACATATGAGGAGCTCGTGGCAAAAATGACAAAATCAATACAAACAATATGTGAATAGTAAACTTTCTCACGTATTCTTTTTTTTGGTTGTCCGAACACCACCAAATTTGATACGAACATCACGCACTCAAATATCTTCCATGTATATATTTGAACTCTTTTAGTATTTTTCTGAATTTATTGTTCACGCAAAAGAGCAAATGAGCTCGAGAGTCGAATGGCCGTGTCTATTCTTCTATTCCTTTTCTCAAGAACCTCAAAGTGGCATTAGATATTTGATCCTGCCTAGTATATCTTTTTCTTTTTTCTTCTTAGATCCCAAACACGGTTTGTATGTATCTTTAGACAACCTTCAAGATGAAATCTTCTCTAATGCGGGCACAGATAACGCCGACCAAACACCCATAGGCAAGCACTAGAACAACGGCGGCACACTTCATCAATGGGCTCCCACTTATCTTTCCCCATGCGCTCCTCATTAACTTAATCGTGGATCAGGCGCCTCAACAAGTTTTAAAATGGTGAGGAAGAGACTTCGGTGCATCCAAAATCGTCGTTGAAAATTCTTCCATGCATTTGTTGTTATGAGAAAAACAAACCTACTGGTCTTAACCATTGGAGTTTTGTTTTTAATACTATAATAGAACATGCAAGTATGAGAGAACTCCCTTTGAATGGGAGGAGTTTCACTTGGGCTAACAATCAAAATGATCCCACTTTTGAAAAACTTGATAGGGTCTTTATTTGCCCAGACTGGGAGGAGCATTATCCTCTAGCTGTGGTGCAAGCCTTGGAAAGAGAATTATCTGACCACACTCCACTTATTTTGGATACTGGGGACAAAACAAATTGCTCACATACTTTTAGATATGAAAATTCCTGGATGTTGAGAGAAGGATTTAGAGACTTTGTTGTTAAGATTTGGTCTACCTGGTATGAAGGGAGTACAACTGATCAATGGCAATAAAGGATGAGAGTGTTAAGACAAAGAGTAAGAGGTTGGGTCTTAAATTCAGATGCATGGTATATTGGTATGGAAAACTAAAGAAAGATATTCTTTCAAAGTTAGATGTCATTGACAAAAAATGTTGAGATATTTGGACTTTCAGCTCATGATAGAAATGAACAAAAAGTGCTTAGAGCTCAGTTGAACAGACTCCTTAAACAAGAGGAACTGAAATGGCTTAAGGTATAAAGATAAGTAAATTAAAGATGGAGATAGTAATACCAGATATTATCATGCTAAAGCCAATGGGAAAAAAAGAAAGGATATTTTTTTCTCATTCAAGAGGAAGGAGTGATTGAGGGTGAGGAGAATCTTCTTAAATACATTACTAACTTTTATTAAAATATGTTCGGTCAGGCCGATCCATCTATAGTTAGATTGAATATTCAAAATGCTCCTGGAATATCTAGGCAAGATGCTACCAATCTAGTGGTACCTTTCTCTATGAAAGAACTACATGATGTGGTTTTTCCATGGAGACAAACAAAAGCCCATGGCCTGATGGATTTCCTGTTGATTTCTATCGACATTTTTGGGACCTGGTGAAGTGGGACCTCAAGAAACTTCTTGATGATTTCCATTCTGGGGATTTAAATATCTCCAGGTTAAACTATGTCATTATCACTATGATTCCAAAAGTGACTGATGCAAAACAAATTCAAAAATTTGGGCCTATTTGCCTTTTGAATTGAGCTTCAAAATCATCACTAAAGTGTTGACGAACAGACTGAGTAGGGTGATTAAACCCATCATTTCTCCTACTCAAACAACCTTTATTAAAGGGAGATACATTATAGAGGGGGTGGTGGTGTTACACGAAGCCCTTAATACAATTCATCATAAGAAACAAAGTTCACTCATCTTTTAAGGTAGACTTTGAAAAAGCATATGATAAAATCAAATAACCCTTTGTTTATAAAATGTTAAAACTGAAAATTTTCCGCAATCAATGATGTGATCTGGTACCACGATTGGGGGACATGTGGGCGTGAAAGTGAATGATGCTATCGGTCCTTATTTCAAAACTCACAAAGGTTTGAGACAAGGAAATTCCCTGTCTCCTCTGCTGTTTGATTTAGCAGCAGATGCTTTGGCCATCATTTTGGACAAATCCAAGAATTCTAGTTTTGTTAAGCGAGTGTTGTCTGAATTTGGCAATAGTGGAGTCAATATGCTGATGTTACAAGATGATGAAGAAAGTGCTAGAAATTTGACATTCATTCTCAATGCTTTTGATCAAATGTCTGGACTTACCATCAATTTTCTCACAAAAGTGAAATCTTCTTGTTTGGTGATGCTAGTGCAAAAGCACACATCTAACAGGAGATTTTCACATGTGAACTAGTTAAAGTGCCATTGAAATATCTAGGTTTGACTGTTTCTGATGTGAGACTGAGCAATAAGTTTTGGAAAATAGTTACTGAAAGAATTGCTAAGAGTTGTGCTTGATGGTTGATACGTCTCCAACGTATCTATATTTTTTATTGTTCTATGCTATTATAGTATCCATCTTGGATGCTTATTATGCAACTATATATCATTTTTTGGGACTAACCTATTAACCTAGTGCCTAGTGCCAGTTGCTGTTTTTTTGCTTGTTTTTGGCTTTTCAGAAAATTAGTACCACACGGGGTCCAAACGCTATATAACTTTTTGACGATTTTTTCTAGACTAGAAGGGACCCTAGAAGCTTTGGGAGAAGACATGAAGTGCCACGAGGCAGCGACAAAGCCTGCCAAGCGCGCCCCGGGGGGGCGCCACCCCAGGCTTGTGGGCCCCTCGTGGCACCTCCTAACCTAATTGCAACTCTATAAATTCCTAAATATCCCCCATACATCAATGAGCCACCCCAAATCTTTTTCCGTCGCCGTAAGTTTCTATTCTTCGGACATCCCATCTAGAGACCTTTCCGGTACTCTACCAGAGGGGGAATCGATCACGAAGGGCCTCTACATCTTACTGCCCCTATGATGATGTGTGAGTAGTTGATCACAGACCTACGGGTCCACAGCTAGTAGCTAGATGACTTCTTCTCTCTCTTTGATCTTCAATACAATGTTCTCCTCAATGTTCTTGGATATCTATTCAATGTAATTCTTTTTATGGTGTGTTTGTTGGGATCCTATGAATTGTGGGTTTATGATCAGATTATCCATGAATATTATTTGAGTCTTCCTTGAACTCTTTTATGCATGATTGTTATAGCATCCATCTGTTTTGTTTGGCCAACTAGATTGGTTTATCTTGCAATGGGAGAGGTGCCTTGTGATGGGTTCGATCTTGCGTCGCTCAATCCCAGTGACAGAAAGGGACATGACGTGTACTTGTATCGTTGCCATTAAGGATAGAAAGATGGGGTTTATTTATAATAACTGGGTTTAATTTGTTTACATCATGTCATCTTGCTTAAGGCGTTACTCCGTTCTTTATGAACTTAATACTCTAGATGCATGCTAGATAGCGGTCGATGTGTGGAGTAATAGTAGTAGATGCAGATAGGAGTCGGTCTACTTGTATCGGACATGATGTCTATATACATGATCCTTGCCTTGGATATAAATTGCCCATAACTATGCGTTTTTCTATCAATTGCCCAACAGTAATTTGTTTACCCACCGTATGTTATGTTCAAGAGAGAATCCTTTAGTGAAAACTATGGCCCCTGGGTCTATTTTAATCATATAATAAAATCAAAAAATACCTTGCTGCAATTTATTTTATTTTGTGTGTTTGTTTATCCATCTATCACTACGAGATTTGATCCTTGCAGTTAAACGCCAAGGGATTGACAACCCCTTGTTTGCGTTGGGTGCAAGTATTTGTTATTTTGTGTGTAGGTGTTATTAACGAGGTGTTGCGTGGTTCTCCTACTGGATTGATAACCTTGGTTCTTAACTGGGGGAAATACTTATCTCTACTGTACTGCATCATCCTCTCCTCTTCGAGAAAATCCCAACGCAACTCACAAGTAGCAGGAAGAATTTCTGGCACCGTCGCCGGGGAGACATTACCAATATATATCAAGTACCATTGCATAAACTTTCAACTCCTTGCATTTACTTTTATTTGTCATTTTCCTCTCATTTTCATCTCCCCCACTTCTAAAATGTTTTCACAAAAACACAAGAACATTTTTCGTTGTCTTTTTGATTGTTTGCTTGAAGCTGCTACCATGTCTGAGTTTATTATTGAGAAAGAGGATGGTAACATCCCTAGAGTTGAAATGCCCCAAAATTTGGATTCTAATTTTTTTGTTGCGGGGCATGGGAACATTGTAGGTAAAAGTGCTATCCAAAAATTCTTTAATTGCACGGGGAGATTGGCTTATAGTGATATTCCTATTCTAAAAAGAACCAAGAGTTACGCCAAAGCTATTTCAACGCTTGTTCTTAAACTTGGAAGGAAATTTATGCATACTCACCCCACTTTGCAAAGGTTGTTCTATGAGTTACCTATTATCAACGACCCTAGGGCTAAGAAGATAGCTACTCTCATCCTTATGAATGGATTTGATTATATAGTATGTGAGGCTAGAGAGATCTTTGATTTTTATAATATGAGCCGT